GAGAGAGAGAGAGAGAGAGAGAGAGAGAGAGAGAGAGAGAGAGAGAGAGTCCAGTGAGGAGTTTCAGGCCTGGCTTCTCTGAAACCCTCAGGCGATGCCCTGAGGATGGGCTTTATCCTCATGGTGTGAGTAGGCCTTATCCTCATGACTGCTTTATTATAGCACAACAGTGGCTTCTATGGGCACTTCAGAGGCCAAGTCAAGACTGAAAGTGCTGGAGAGTATCGCCGTGTGGCCAAGCCTCAGCCTCCAGCAGCGTTCCTGCAGCGATGCCAGGTACAAAGCACTCTTCTCAGTTCTCCCAGCCCAAAGAGCAATCCTTTCAATGCTGAAAGGGTTCCAGCCCTTTCAGAGACAGCCTGACAGCCAGCCTACCCCTGGGACAGACAGGAAACTTGTTCTCCTTCCTTGACATGTCCCATGTTCCCTCTAATCTTAGGGTAGAGAAGAGCAGGTGCAGTGCAGTTTTGCTGGTCAATCTTGTTCAGTGTCCCTAGTAGATGAAAGGATCAACCCAGAAGGGATAGGTAGAACTATGGGGGGAAAATCTTCATAAGACAGGAAAGAAACCTTAATTTTTTCAACCTGCCTTCTTGCTCAGATTCCTTGATGCCAGAAAACCCAGTGTCAGCCCATAGGCTGCCTTGTAGCTCAGTGCCTTGGGAATGAGTAGGAGGCACGTCTGGTTGGGCAGGGAAGTAACATGGGAGGTGACTGGGTACCAACTCACACATCTAGCTAGGGAAGAATGGAAGGGAATGATGAAGAGACATCCCAGAGTAGACAGAACAAGTTTCCAGGGAGTAGAGGGGTGCTGGGCTCTAGGTACTCCACCACTTTATGGTCTTGAAGACAAGGAGAGGGCACAATCTATCACCATCCAGGGTCCTAACAGTAAAAACACACCCTAAATAGTATCACTCAGGAAGGTGTGTTTACAAGGAGTGGCTATGAAGTTCTCAAGAAAAGGTACTATCATGGGATAGTAACAATGAAACGGTCAGAACCGCTAGGCCCAAAGTGACATGGAGAAACATAGCTCTTAGAACCCAGAAGAGAGAGCTATGGAGCAAACCACCCTGAGAGTAGCAATAATCCTGAATGGAGGGACATGTGCAGGTGGGACAAGGTGTGGGAGGGAATGAAAAGGTATCTCTTTTTCTCCATCTTCTCCCAGAGCTCCCAGTGGTTGAAGCAAAGGCAGCCTGGCAATGTGTGCTTTCATATCCACCACCTAAGCAAGAGCAGGGTGGAGGGAAGCCCAGAGGGACCTGAAGTGTTCCTTGTGCCTTTTCTTTTTTTTTTTTTTTTTTTCAGTACCGGGGACTGAACTCAGGACCTTGTGCTTGCCAGGCAAGTGCTTACTCTCCTGAGCTATCTCCCCGGCCCAGAAGTGTTCCTAAGACATGCCTTCATTTCCAGCATTTCCTTGCTTCCCAGCCTCTTGTCAGGTCCTACTGGATCTGCCAGCCAGATTCTCCAGGAATTACTTTCCTAGGCTGAGAGCAGAATCCTGGAGGCTGCTGTTGTACAATCTGAATTTCTTTAGTAGGTTAGTATTTCCAGTTGGAAGGACAGCCTGGCACTGCGTATCAAGCCAGGCCCAAATGCAGCTCTAGACTGCCTATTAGGAGCCAATTCTTTTCTTGGTTGTTTTGTTTTTGTGTTTCTGAGACAGTGTTTCATTATATAGTCCAGACTGGGCCTGAACTCACTACATAGCACCACATACCCACGGTGGTCCTCCTGCTTCAGTCTCCCACATGCTGGGATTACAAGAGTGTGCCACTACGCCCATCTAGGAGCCACTTCACTTTTTTTTTTTTTTTTTTTTTTTTTTTTTTTGTTTGTGTTTGTGTGTGTGTTTGTGTGTGTGTGTGTGTGTGTGGCCAACTCAGCCCACCAGGGGGTGGGGCTGGCTGGCATGTGGTGCTGGGGGACCGAACCGCAGTCCCTGTGCCTTGCCAAGCCTGTTCCAAGTAGGTGCCTTAGACCACTGAGCCATCTCACCAGCCCCAAAAATATATTCTTTGTTTATTTGTTTGTTTGTTTGTTTTTTGGCAGAACCAGGGATTGAACTCAGGCCCTTGCGCTTGCCAGGGAAGTGCTTATTCCACTGAGCCATCTCCCCGGCCCACTTCACTTTTGAGAGTAATAGATTTGTGGCAGTACAGGAGCACAAGTAAACCTAGTACCGTCTTGCTGGATATTTGCTCTAGTCTTTAATGGCAGCACCTCTCCCAGAAATTAGAATATCTCTCAATCTACTGAACATATTCCCCAGAAAGAGACATGTAGAGTGCATGTTTCAGCTACTGATCAAACTGAAGACTTGCAGAATTAGCTGGCATTATCAACAGCTCCAAATAGCTGCTGCGTGTTTTGGGCTCAGGTTGTATAAATGTCAAGTCTCATGGCTCTTTCTAGATGTAGAGCTGTTTTAATTAATAGGACTGCTCAGGGAAGGTATACATTTCACTTTTTCACCAGTTGGGAGATACCAGGATTCGGGTGGCTGACTGTAGCTACTGTTGAAAGGCTTTCTAAAAGCATCTATTTTCCTTTGGGGTAGGTAAAAATTTTCTCTGTGACATTTAAATTTAAAAAAATTCTTTTTTTGTTTTCATTTTTCTTCTGAACTATATTGATGTATTTATTCTGACCTTCACTTGCCTGACTCTTGGGGAAATGTAATCCTGTTTCTCTTTGTTCCTAAAGTCAAACAATGGTCCTAGAAATAAGGTCCTTATCTATGGTGCCAAAATTGCTCTGTGCCCCATACCTTGGTCTGATAAAGAGGGTCATCTCTCAGCATGGACTGTGATCGTCCTGCCCAGGCTCCATAGGTCCTTGGCCACCCATGTATAAGTACTGCCTCCCCCACCAGACCTCTCAAACAGGGAATCAGGGCTCTAGACCCACTGCTTAGAAATCATGGTTTTCACACTTCTGTGAGAAAGGGGCCCTTGCACATTTTAGAAACAAAGATGCAAGTACTAACTCTTCTCAATGGCAAGAATACCCAGAAGAGCCTAGGCTATAGAAGAAGTGACTATTTTACTTACCAGGCTCCCACAGTTTTGAGAGAGCAAATTTGAATCAGTGGGAGTCGACAGATTATCCTGCCACTGTAGGCATAATGAGAGTCAGAGCTGCCTACAACCACGGAGGCATTCGGCCTAGGGCTATGTACAGTTCTGAGGACACTGAGACAGGTAAGAAACTGAGAGATAATTGGGACTTGTTTTAGGCTGCCAGAATTTTCAAGATTAAAACTTTGCTTGAGGTGATTAAAGATTCATAAGCGGTTTTCAGGAATAATAAAGAAAAACCTCTCCGTTTTGTCTACTTTTCGTCAGTGGTGATTTTTTAATTTTTCTTTCTTTCTTTTTTCTGTCTTTTTGAGACAGGGTCTCATTATGCAGTTCAGGCTGGCCTTGAACTCACTTTGTAGCCCAGGCTAGTCTCAAACTCCCAATAAGCCTCCTGCCTCAGTGTCCCTAGTGCTGGGATTACAGGTGTGCACCACTATGCCCAGCATGGTAACATTTTCTGAAGCTGTGATATAATGTCAAAACCAAGACATTGATATTGATGCAGTCCACCACTCTTTTCCAGATTTCATATTACTTGCACTTTTTTTTTTTTTTTCCATGCGGTACCAGGGATCAAACTTAGGACTTTGCACTTGCCAGGCAGGTGCTTAAGCTGCTGAGCTATGTCCCCGGCCCTTTTGCTTACACTTATTTGTGTGTAAGATCTATAAAATTTTATTATCTGTGTAGGTTCATCTATGCATCACTATAGTTTAGATTTTGACCAACATAACATGGATCACTGATGCTGTCCTTTTCTTTCTTTCTTTCTTTTTTTGCGGAACCAGGGATTGAACTCAGGCCCTTGGGCATGCCAGGGAAGCACTTATTCTACTGAGCTATCTCCTAGCCCAGTGCTGTCCTTTTACCTCCACATCTACTTGCCTTCCGCTCCTTCATCCTTCTCTGTCCTTAAATTTATTTCTAAAATCTTATCACTTAAAATTCTATATAAATGGAATAATGCAGCATGCAATCTTTGGAAATTCCTTCTTCTCACTCAATATAATTTCTTAGAGAGTCATCCAAGCATGTTATATTTTCATTGCTAAGTAGTATTCCACGCCACATATGTACCAGTTTGTTTAACTATTCAGTATTAGATATCTGAGGTGATTCCAATTTTTTGGCTTTTATAAATAAAGCTGCTATGAACATTTGGGCACAGATTTTTTTTGGTGAACATGAGTCTTCATTTCTCTGGGATAAATGCCCAGAAGTATAATTGCTGGGTCATATGGTAGTTGCATATTTAGTTTTTTAAATAAACTGTCAAGCTGTTTTCTAGAGTGGCTGTACCATTTTACATTCTCACCAGCAACGCATGAATGATTTAGTTTTTCTGCTTTCCCACTAACATTTGGTATTGTTCTATTTTTAAGTTTAGTCATTCTGATAGACAGTAGTGGTATTTCTTTGTGGCTTTGATTTATCATTTGGCTAGTATTTAATGGTGTTGATGATGTTATTTGCCATCTGTCTATTCTCTGTGGTGAAATAGCTTCATGTTTTTAGACCATTTTCTAATTACTTCATTGTTGAGATGGTAGAATTCTTTATATATTTTAGATACTAGTCCTTTGTTGGATATAAGTTTTGTAAATATTTTTTTCTGCCAGTCTGTAGTGTTTCATGCTTTTCACATAATTTTCTTTTTTCACATAGATTTTCTTTTTTTTATTTTTAAATTTTTTTTATTTATTTATTTGTGTGTGACTGTGTGTGGCCAGCTCAGCCCACCAGGGGGTGGGGCTGGCTGGCATGTGGTGCTGGGGGATTGAACCTCGGTCCCTGTGCTTTGCTAAGCTTGTTCTAAATAGGTGCTTTAGACCACTGAGCCATCTCACCAGCCCCCTTCACATAGATTTTCATAGGGCAAAAGAAAAAAAATTTTTTTTAATTTTTAGGGAAGGGTCTACAGGGTGTTCAGGGTCTCACTACTAGATCAGACTCTTAGTGATCCACCTGTTTACAGCCTCCCAAGAGCTGGGATTACAGGCGTGCACCACCACACCCAGTCTCAACTGCCTTCTCAGTGATCCCCTGGGGCGGGGCCTGCACTTGGTTTTGGTTTTAAGTCTAATCCCCTCGCCAAGGAACCAGGGACTGAACTCAGGACCTTATGCTTGCCAGGGAAGCGCTTATTCTACTGAGCCATCTCCCCGGCCCCTATTTTTGTTGGTTGTTTTTGTTTTGTTTTGTTATTGAAGATTGAACCTAGGACCTTGCATATGCAAAAGCCCACGCTCTACTACTGAACCCTGAGTTTTTATTGTGTCATGTTGCTTCATGAGGAATGAAAGTTAAGGCTGGCAGGTTTCCCATCTTCACAGAGTTTACCTTCTGTTTAGAGACTACCACTGTGGTATGGCAGTGTGTGTGTGTGTGTGTGTGTGTGTGTGTGTGTTGCAAATAGGATTTCACTATGCAGTTCATGTTGGCCTTCAGCTCACTTTGTAGCCGAAGATGGTCTCAAATTCCCAACAATCTTCCTACCTCCACCTCCTGGGTGCTGGGATTACAGGTGTGCACCATCATGCCTATCCCTCAAAAGGGGATACTGGTAAACACATATTATAGGCTTTATATTGATTGGTTCAAGGGTATGGAATGGAGCCAGCCCCTAGTATGTGTGTGAGTATGTCTGTGTGCCTGTGGTATATGGTTTGGAGATCAAAACCAGGACCTTCAGGTATGCTAGGCAAGCACTCTATGAAGATACATCCCAAGCCACCAGTCCAAGTATTTTATCTGGGAATCTGTTGTCAGCCATTGCTCATACCTCCAACCCAGAAAGCCTGATTTCACCAAATCAAACCTCTTCAGTTATATAGCAGGAAAATCCAAGTAGATGGGGAGGGGATGGCTCTAGGGGCAGACTAGGTACAATGACAAGGAGTTGGTCTTGAGGAGACATTTCTTCCAAGGTCTGGAAGTCTTAGTAGTTTGTGGTCCTTCTCTGCTTGGGAATAGGCTTTCTGGCTCGAACTAAACCCATGCAAATACTGTGGGGTTGGGATCTTCTGTCCTCATTGGTTGAATAACAAGTGTTTGTTTAGTACAATGTCAGACATTGTTCTGAGTCCCGAAGTTAGAGATGTGAACATGATAGACAATAACCTTTGCCCACAAAGGGCTTATGTTCTACTTGGGGGGGGGGGAGGGTGTCAGATGATAGGAAATAACATAATATAACCAGAGTGTTAGGAGGTGAGAAATAAAGAGAGCTGGGGACATGGAATTACTCCCATAGTAGTCAAGGAAGGTATTTCCTGAGAGAAGAAATTTTATGGTTAGCTGAACAAACTGACAGTGGGAAAGCCTGAGAAGCAAATCCCTGGCATGTGTGGGAGCAGGGAAGAGGCCCATGCAGCTGGAGGTAGGATCAACCAGAAAGGGTCAGTAGCTTGTGAATCTTATGGACTACTATGATGCCTTTGGCTGGTACAAACAGGAGAAGCTGTTGTAAACTTTTGGCAAAGATGTGACTGAATTCATGTGCTAAAAATTCTAGTTGCTAAAAGGATGATAGACTGAAAGAAGGGACACTAAGCAGACAGCTGTGAGCTTGAAAGAAAGGACACTAGCCAGACAGCTAGGCAATAGAAAAAAGTATTTTGCACTAGAGAAAGCCATTGTAATTCCTAGGTACACTTTGAAGGAATTATCAATAGATAATTCCTGCCATCTTAGATGTAGAATGTGAGAAAAGAACCAAGGGATCTCAGGTGCTTAGCAGAACCAAAGGATCTCTACCTGTTGTAGCCTGAGCTGGTGGAAACTATAGAGTTGGGAGGTGATCAGTCATGTTTAAAGATGTTCTGTCTGGCATTTACACAGAAATGTGGAGAAGGCAGTTGGCTATTGTACTTGGGGCTCAGGAATCACCTTAAGCTGGACAGAAATTTTAGATTTCAGATGGCATTTAGGACCCAAGATGTGAGTGTGTTGTCAAGGTGGATGGAGAGAAAAAAAGAAGACTAAGATCCAATCCTGGGCAATCTAGAGTTAATGGGCTCACTCACTTAATGACACATGGCAGGTGCCTCAACCCAGCTTGAGAGGTTTCTACTTAGGACAAATCCCAGGACAAAGTATTTTAGGAGTGAGGTATTGCTGTAATTTGCTCCTGACCTTCAGGGTGTTAGGACTGTGGCAGTTTAGGGGTGGTCTCCTGCAGTTTCCCTCCATTAAGGGCCCTGAAGCAATATCTGGGGGAATAAGTGTCATCCCCTTTTTTTTCATTGTTTTTCAAGGAGCCAGCACAGCAACACTTCTTCTCCAAGCATGACAACCGCACTTCCTTCGACAAAGTAAGTACTAGGGAGGAAGGAGAGGGGACGGTCCTCTAGCTTAGGCAGAAATTGAGGGCAGAGCAAGTGTTGGGGTGGCTGGGAAAAAAACCATGAGGAGAGGGAATGATCCATACAAAGGCAGAGTGCCTCTCTCCTGCACCTCTTTCCCTGGGAAATAGTGCACTCCCCATAGGCACCTCTGCTTTGGTTTCCTCAACCAAATTCCATGTCAATACACAAAAGTCCTGGGGGGCACAGATAGAGGCTTCAATGAACAGAACAATAGATAGCATCACTGAAGAGAAAGCCAGTGAAGCCAGGGTAAGGTCAAGGAGGTCCTACACAGGCCAGACATCACCAGAGTTGGAATTAGGTAGGGCCCAAGGAGATTCCTGGTGCTAGGACTGTGGGCTAAGGGCCTGTACCACTGGGGAGGGCCCCTATTGTCTGCTGCAGGGAATCGGAAGACAGAAAGATCTGAAGCACCTGTGGCAGCGGCACACCTTCCTGCGCTGGGCACCCTGTGAGCTAGAGCTGAGCCAGCAGCAGCCCCTGAAATCTTCCTACCAGTCTGATTTCCAGTCAGGTTCTGGACTTGATAGTGTCCCTCAGCGTCTTGTTCATTTTGGGCAAATCCAGCCTCCCCAGGCCAGCACTACCTACCAGCGAAACTTCTGCCATCCATCTCTACGTGGTCACTGTGGCACTGACAAGATAGAGCCCCAAATGCCTGTCGCCGACACACTGCCTGACCTCCCAGGAATCCCAAGACCCAAGCTACTGCAGCACTATCTTCACCCTGGAGTCTATGAATGTTTACACTGGTCCTGAACATTAAACAGCTGACAGAGCCTGCCGGTACTTCCAGTGAAAAGAGGTCTCAGGGGCCAGTGAGCAGTGGTGTGCAGCCCAGAGCCTGACTCCCAAGGGACTTGTGTCTATGGTGTCTTGTGTCTATGATCTGGGTTGGGGAAGTACTGACATGTGAGCCTAGTCACCAGCTGAGAAAAGGTAAGGCCTGGAAGAGGCCCAGCATCCAGGAAGGTTGCCATGACCAACACAAGAAGGTCCAAACTCCTCTCCAGAACTTTGGCAAACAGCGGGAAACCCTATACGCAGTGAAAGGAGAGCCAGCCATTCTAGTGGGAATCAAAGGCCAGGGCACATTTCCTTATAATCCCAGCTACTCAGGAGGCCAAGAGGTCAAGAGAGGAGGATCACAGGTTCCAGGCCAGACTGAGAAACTTGGAGATACTATCTCAAATAAAATAACCAAAACAAAGGGCTGGGGGTGTAGCTGTGAGAGTGCGTGCCTACCATGTCCAAAGTACCACTGGGTTCAATGTCCTGTACAGAATTAAAAAAAAAAAAAGAGAAGGGGGAACAGCTGGCAGCTTCCTTTAGGAGGAGGCCTAGGGGGAGTGGTGGGTAGCCACCCAATCCTGCCCAATAGCTCCCCACAGCTGACAGAGACTGCCTTGGCCATCACCTGCACTAAACCACCCCTCCCTTCACGGGTAAGCAGAAGCCTTGAGGAAACACTGTGTAACAGTGTGTGATTTGGACCCAGAGGTTATTCTAACTCTGTAGTTTTATTGTTTTTTCTTTCTTTCTTTCTTTTTTTTTTTTTTTTTT